TCAGATAGATATTATTAACTTTACGAGGCGTGTATTATTCTTTGTGTATTTGTGTGCTCATGTGTAATTTCGCATTCATCATTATTAATTGGCACATTGTATCAACTGTGTACTGGTACAAGATCTACCATACTGTAAGTTAATGATTTGTAATTATACTTCTTATGTTTATAATTGTGTTATTACTCAATTAAATCATATTAATTGTAACTGGCAACTGTTTTGGGTGCCGTATCTTTATTATCGTAGTTCTATGGCATCGTCCTTTGTTAGGCACTGTTTGAACGAGCCATAAAATTAAAAATAAGAGATTAAATTCTCACAAGAGAAGCCAGTGCGCAACATGAGCAAACCGGTTGTCGGTTTTATGGGCAAGCAAACCAGTTATTGGTTTTATGGATAAATCGGTTAAAGATTAGATTTTATGGGCAAACCGGTTATCGGTATATGGGCCAACCGGTTATCGGTTTGTAATGTATTCCCACCTGCTCGGTCCAATAAGGTTAGATTAACTTCATAACTTTAATGAGATTTGAAGCCTCAGTTTTGTACCACGACTTAATCCCAGTGCAGCGTGTGTTGCAGTTACTGTGTACAACATGAGCTGGATGACCTATATCTTTATTGCATTTATACGTACTAGCGTTAACCTATACTTATTTATGCATAAAGTCATCTGAGTTCCCACAAACGTTTTAGCTGACGCCTGTGGCAGAACACATGTCATAAGAATCAGCGCAACATCGGATTTTATTCGACAGAGCAGCATTCTGGGATGTGACCCCTTTTCTCGAAATAAATTCTGCAATGTCTCCCACCGTCTTCTGACTCCGATCTGTCTCCCAACGTTGTCTGACTCCGATCTGCGATCTGTCTCCCAACGTCGTCTGACTCCGATCTGTCTCCCAACGTCGTGTGACTCCGATCTGTCTCCCAACGTCGTCTGACTCCGATCTGTCTCCCAACGTCGTCTGACTCCGATCTGTCTCCCAACGTCGTGTGACTCCGATCTGTCTTCCAACGTCGTCTGACTCCGATCTGTCTCCCAACGTCGTCTGACTCCGATCTGTCTCCCAACGTCGTCTGACTCCGATCCAGCTTGCGGTATTGTAAAACACGTGACGCAAGTATCTATTTTATAGTCCTGAATTATAAGGTCTGATAATGACTTTTATCTTTAAGTTTAAGAAGAAAAAAATGTCAACAATTAAAAAATGTAATTATCGATTCGTTAAAATAAAATATCGCGAACTTGTTTAACCTCCTCAAATCATGACGCAGGGATGACTTAAAGGAAAATTGAATCTGTTTTATTGTGGCGGATTCTACAATACCTATCGCGTAATACATGAAACAAAGAATATCTTAGTACAGGAAAAGAAATGTGATGTTTGAGATAATGTTTGAGAGGATGTTTGAGGTGGTGTTTGAGAGGATGTTTGAGAGTATGTTGAGAGTATTTTGTGAGGATGTTTGGGAAGATTTTTGAGAGAATTTTTGAGACGATGTTTGAGGGGATGTTTGAGACGATGTTTGAGAGGATCTTTGAGAGGATGTTTGAGAGAATGTTTGGGAAGAGGTTAACTGAGAGGATGTTTGAGAGGATGTTTGAGTCGATGTTTGAGTCGATGTTTAAGAGAAAATTTGAGAGGATGTTTGAGAGGATGGCATTGATTTCCTGGATCAATAGAAAAATGGAATGAAAAATGTCATCTTTTTTAGTATATGCTTTCTATATATTTCTTAAACTTGTTTGCTTTTGTAGCTACCATAAAATCTTCATGTCAGCCATTTTATCCTCATGTTGTAATTTTGGGTCCACCCTTCTCAGTTAATGCTCCAGGCGGCACATCCATAAAATATATGAAATAAAGACAAATACAACTTTTAACATATGTCTTAATAATAAAAAGGTAATTCACCTATGCTAACGCTATTGCCTTTTTAACACTAAAATAAAACACTATCCCCCAAGGAACCCATCCCCAATGGTGCAATAATTTTAGTTATCCCTAAGATAGGGGCACTATAAAAATCAGTCATATGAATATTTACGTTTTTTTTTCTTCTTCAAATTTATCCCATTTTAATCACACGTTATTTACAAAGATGTTGACTTTTAAATTTTTAGTGTTGGGGGCCCCAGTTTCAAAAGATCATATTATTTTATATTTTACAGCAGTGGGAATTTTAGCTTGGATAAGGAACAAACTAACTTTTTTTCAAAAATCGTCCCTTCAAAATCTGTTGATAAATACCAAAGATTTTATTCAAAACAAAATAAGAGCCCCCATGTACAAAAAGATGTGGATATTATTAGTATGAAATTCATATATATTTTATTTTAAAATAATTTTTAAAGGTATGCATACCAAATTGAGCCTTGATGATATAATCTACATGGAAGCTTGCATTTTAAACAAAGCCTTTGTGTATATTTAAAAATTTTAATTAAAAAATAGCTTTAATTTTAATTTCATAAAATTTAAGGGAAATGATACAGAGATACGTAAGAAGCATAAAAGGGACATTTATAGAATGTTATAACCCTTAAAAAGAATCTTAAGCTCTAGAATAAGTTCTGGAATATTTCAAGAAACGTATAAAAGGTATTTTCATCAAACGAGGATATTCTCAGGAAAAAAATAAAAAAAATCTCAGGAAAGTATGGAAATCGTCAAACTAAACTAAAATTTCCATAAACTTTATGATACCATCGACATAAATATAAATATTCAATTCATTCATTCATTTTCATTATCTTGAAAATTAAGCCACGTCAGCATTTCCTTCAGGATAATGAAGCGTGATAACTATTTATCCCAAGTTTGATAACAATGTAGCCCAAGTTTGATGATATACGCCAAGTTGGATCAAAATCCATTAACCCATGTAGAAACGTATAATACAAACATACTTACTTTCTCATGTAAACAGTAAATAACATTATACTAGAAAAATGCAGGAATGAATGTATGAAACCTCATTTAGACATTTAAATTAACATTTTTCTCTGTGTTCAACTAATTTAAAACTACCATTTATATATTTATGAATATCGGTTTAGAGTTTAATTTATTTTGTTTCATTTTCAACTGCTTGCGACGTTTATAAGTGAAACACTCCCAGGACATCATCTGATGTCAGTAAACAAATCTACCTTGACATCATCTGATGTCAGTAAACAAATCTACCTTGACATCATCTGATGTCAGTAAACAAATCTACCTTGACATTATCTGATGTCAGTAAACAAATCTACCGTGACATTATCTGATGTCAGTAAACAAATCTACCATGACATCATCTGATGTCAGTGAACAAATCTACCTTGACATTATCTGATGTCAGTAAACAAATCTACCTTGACATTAGCTGATGTCAGTAAACTAATCTACCGTGACATTATCTGATGTCAGTAAACAAATCTACCATAACATCATCTGATGTCAGTAAACAAATCTACCTTGACATTATCTTATGTCAGTAAACAAATCTACCTTGACATTATCTGATGTCAGTAAACAAATCTACCGTGACATTATCTGATGTCAGTAAACAAATCTACCATGACATCATCTGATGTCAGTGAACAAATCTACCGTGACATTATCTGATGTCAGTAAACAAATCTACCTTGACATTATCTAATGTCAGTAAACAAATCTACCTTGACATTATCTGATGTCAGTAAACAAATCTACCATGACATCATCTGATGTCAGTGAACAAATCTACATTGACATTATCTGATGTCAGTAAACAAATCTACCTTGACATTATCTGATGTCAGTAAACAAATCTACCGTGACATTATCTGATGTCAGTAAACAAATCTACCATGACATCATCTGATGTCAGTAAACAAATCTACCTTGACATTATCTGATGTCAGTAAACAAATCTATCATGACATCATCTGATGTCAGTGAACAAATCTACCTTGACATTATCTGATGTCAGTAAACAAATCTACCTTGACATTATCTGATGTAAGTAAACAAATCTACCGTGACATTATCTGATGTCAGTGAACAAACCTACCGTGACATTATCTGATGTCAGTAAACAAATCTACCTTGACATTATCTGATGTCAGTAAACAAATCTACCTTGACATTATCTGATGTCAGTAAACAAATCTACCTTGACATTATCTGATGTCAGTATACAAATCTACCTTGACATTATCTGATGTCAGTAAACAAATCTACCTTGACATTATCTGATGTCAGTAAACAAATCTACCGTAACATTATCTGATGTTAGTAAACAAATCTACCTTGACATCATCAGATGTCAGTAAACAAATCTAGCTTGACAATATCTGATGTCAGTAAAAAAATCTACCGTGACATTATCTGATGCCAGTAAACGATTCTACCGTGACATTATCTGATGTCAGTAAACAAATCTACCTTTACATTATCTGATTTCAGTAAACAAATCTACCGTGACATTATCTGATGTCAGTAAACAAATCTACTTTGACATCATCAGATGTCAGTAAACAAATCTAGCTTGACAATATCTGATGTCAGTAAAAAAATCTACTGTGACATTATCTGATGTCAGTAAACAAATCTACCTTGACATTATCTGATGTCAGTAAACAAATCTACCGTGACATTATCTGATGTCAGTGAACAAACCTACCGTGACATTATATGATGTCAGTGAACAAATCTACCGTGACATTAACTGATGTCAGTAAACAAATCTAGACAGAAACTTATTGTATGAAGAATATAAGAAAGTTACAATGAACGTACTACGTGTGCATAATTGCATGTAAAAATGAGAAATCAACTATGAACCGAATTTGATCAGTCTGTAACACTTTTGTGACTTTGCTGTCGTCATTAAATGCAATCAACCACTTACTGACGTAGTTTGTCTTTGAGACATTGTTATTCTCATAAAAGACACTCTTGCTCCGCGTCTGCTGTAAATGAAAGCATTGACCCACATTAACGAAATTTTTCTTTCTCATTTTCTAATCCCTTTCAGCACTTACGCAACAAGACTTGGACTACTTCGCCAAGAATATTCAACTCAACTTTTCATTGATCGAGAACTCTTTTTTCAACAAGAAGCTTTTCGAAGCAGAGATACTTCTCACCAACAAGGGCAAAAGACCGTTCCCTCCCTTAGGGTGGGAGATTATATTCTCTCAGGTAATTCAGCCGCTCTTGTTAGTTATCTTGTTTCAATTATAGAACTGAATTATTTCCACTGAAACATGTTAAATATATAATATATATATTTAAATATATAATATATAATAAATAGCCGACATTTAGATTAAAGTTATGTTCCCGTTGACATAGATTCTGAAGAAAATTCTCTGTTATCTCCATATCCACATACAGCTATTCTTAAGCCTTAAACTTACATCCAAGACGCCATCAAGATTTCTTTATATTTATCTCAATGCCCCAATCCAGCTTTTACTAAACTTACACAAAAGTCCCATTCCAGGGTTCTCTAAATTTACACCCATGCAGAGCCGCCGTATAACTGTTGGAAGGGCCCTGCCGCTTTTCAGTGTGTGCCCCTTGCATTCAAAGTTGGTAGTTTAGTTATTCTTTACATGCAAATTTTAGGCCTCGGAAATATTTGAGCCCCCCTAAAATCTTAGGGGTTGAAGGGCCCGTGCGATGGCTCGGCACCCATAACCCACCACTTTTACAACTTTCTCCAAACGTACACTCATGTCCCCATAGATCTCTCATTAAACCAACACTCTATTTACCTAGCCTTCCCTGATTGAACCAAACTCCTACCCCTACCCCGATGGTGTCGAGAAACCAAACTATGGGGTGCGTTTCTACTTCCTCATGGGCAATGTCTACCGTATGGTGCCCATGCCCACCTTTGGTACCATCAGAGCCGGCAAGTCCAAGTTTATCCGTTACATCAGCGAGCACTCTAACGTGGCCTTGACGGATGTCCACCCCAACTGGTAAGTACTGGCGCAGCACATATATTGACTGCTAATTATTACTTTATCTATCAATATATACATCTAATTAACTGCCACATTGCATTTTATTTTTCAAAAAATGTTCGCCTTGCCCTAAAACCTCAAAATAAAGGGATTCGTTTTTTCCATTTTCTTTCTTTTGAATTCTCCACATTCTTATCGCAAAAAAATAGTTCAACAATAAAATACAATGACAAATGCAATACAAAAATTCTACAGAGGTATTTGTGTGCTAATGAGCTTCGGGGATTTCAAAAAAGTCTAAATCTTGTGACTAAAGCGTATTTTTTTAAATATTCACAAGGTATTTTGCGGGGCCGAGCCTTGAGCCCAGGGTGATTGAGAACACCCGAGGGGAGTCCATGGACTTTGTGGCCCCCTTCAAAACTCCAGCCATGTGGAAACGAAACACGATCACCGATGACCCAGATTACGACCTGTTCAACCCATTCTCTGCGGCCAGGAGATACCAGGAGTTCGCCATACAAGATTTGGGCGGTGCTCCACATCCTGTCATACCAACGTAAGTTATTAGGATAAATAGTTGGTTTCCTCATGTTCAAATACTGTTGTTTAGGACTAGATGATGTTGTTAAATACCTGAACTTCTGGGTTACTTTTCCTCGAAACATGAGCAGGTCAATATTCTAGGAATAATATGAAATCGTTTAGTTTTGTGAATGGACACATGATGAATCAATGGGTTTTACTCCAGATTCCCCGTCTACAATTTTCAAAACAAACAGAGAACTAGTTTGTAAATTTCAAACACCATATTGGAAGTAACATTTTAAAATTTTTGGAAAAACTTGAATAACGAGTCAATCAATCATCTGTATTTTATTAAAATGTCTGATACGTTTCATTGCAGACCCCTGGATATGCCAGTCTATAATGTCCACTCAGTGGTCAATGTGCTGACCAACAGCTGGGTCATTGTGGCCACCCCTCGCATGGCCAACGAAGGACGATACTTAAGCGGTAGACTTGTTGGTTCATTTCTCATTGATAGTGTATTTATCTAGTTAAATCAACATTAATTGCCTTTGATACTGAATAGTGGTATTTTATATTTTTGAATATCATTTCTATTAAAAATAAATAGAAAATTTGTTAAGAATGTCATAACTGTGGCGATGTAAAGGGAGGTGGGGTAGCCCATGTGTGTTAAATCTGGTCAACTAATCTATAAATCATTAAATAACTTCCATAAAACATTGCAAACATGTAGGTCTCATGTTTAGTGCCCTGAGCTTTCTGTAAATGACAGAAGTTGGCCAAAAACTTACATTATGTTACCAACCCGTTCTTACTAGGGCTCATTAGCTTCGCTTTATCTAAGGGTTATTATATTAACTACACAAACTAACTCTTCCAACTTATAGAATAAAGTATATTTATTCCTCAAACTGCATTGTCAACTGCCATTACTTGATCACAACCACTACACAATTAAAGTCATTTCCCCTTACCCAAAATACATCACAAAATACTAAGCATAATAGATAAAGCAACACATATGCTCTCTAAACAACACACAATCACAATATGCATTCAAGTCCTAACACATACACCAGTATTTTAACTGCCTCCCTCCTCAGCGTTCTATATCTTCTATTTCTAGATAGTGCACGTATTCTGATTGTTTGTGTTTTTGATTCCTTGTCATTCCAACGGATCTGTTTCAGAACTCTGGCGTATGGCCGTTGTTCTAAGACCACCTGCGGCATTTTATGTCAATTTTATAGAAGAGGAGGTCACAGTGACACTTAAAGAACGGACCTTACCATCAGATGAGTGTAAGAAGGTTGACTTAACCTTTTGCTAGTACTTCAGATGGTAACTCTGGCATGTATCTTAAAGATTCTGATCAGAACCTTGTTCTAATTGTTTTAGGCAAAATTCTACTTGCCAAGTCTATGTTATTAACAATAGATTCGCTTTGATTATTTCATTAATTTCAAAATTGTGTTGCGTTTATTGTGTTGATTTCAACCTCATGCTGCCCCTGCCCTTTCAGCCTATGAGCTGCGAGTCACCCCAACCAACAACATTATTACTATACGTTCATCACAGCCTGCTGGGGCATTTTACGCCATTCAAACACTGCTTAGTCTTGTAGACAAGGATGGCAATGTAAGTACAAATAATGTTATTTATAGCTCAAATGAAACTTTGATCCAACAGCTGTCACCTACTATTCATTTCAGTATAAGCTCTCTCATTCTGTCTCCAATACTTTTTTTTTTATCACTCACAAATGTTTACCCTTCCCAAATTCCAAGAAGTCTTTTTCCAAGAAAGATAGAAATATTTCTATTCAAACAGAATTAGAGACATTTCTATTTCAACAGAGTTAGAGACATTTCTATTTCAATAGAATTAGAGACATTTCTATTTCAACAGAGTTAGAGACATTTCTATTCTAAAAGAATATAACAGATAGAGACAATTCTATTCTATGAGAATTAGAGATATGTCTATTCCAAAAGAGTTAGAAACATTTCTATTCCAACAGAGCTAGAGACATTTCTATTCTAAGAGAGTTAGAGACATTTCTCTGCGTTTTTTTTATGTATACAAAACCCTAGAAATGTAAATTAGGCTGAAAATCTTAACAACTTGTCTTGATCCACATTATCTGTACCTATTTAATATATGCTTTTTAATTCTAAATCTTTTTGATTAACCAAAGTCATGAAATCATTGTGTTAAGTTGTTTTTTTTTGTCTTTTTAACAAAAATTGGCCTTTAATCCTTGGAGAAACATGTGCCTGTTAACAAAGTTTAACAAATTATGTTTAAATTTAATAACGTCTTAGATTCCAGAAATAGTTATAAGAGATGGTCCCAGGTACAAATACAGAGGTGTTCTTCTAGATGTTGCCAGAAACTTCCAGAGTAAAGAGAAGATATTTAGGTAACTTTTCTGATTTTACCACAACCTCCTGCTTACTTTTTTTTTTTCTATTTGATGTGACCTTTCAGGTCAGAATCTTCTGCTTTTTGTAGACTCAATTCTAAATTATTTCTGACTGCAGATATGACTTCAATATTTTATGTCACCGTTTAATTTGATGATTTTGATAAAGAGTGCACCACATTAACATGTGCACCACATTAACATGTGCACCACATTAACATGTGCACCACATTAACATGTGCACCACATTAACATGTGCACCACATTAACATGTGCATCACATTAACATGTGCACCACATTAACATGTGCACCACATTAACATGTGCACCATATTAACATGTGCACCACATTAACATGTGCACCAATGTCAGCCTCTCCCACAGAATGCCACTGCACAACAACCCCAGAGCAACACCACAGCAACATCCCCAAATATAAGCTAAATTAAAAAAACTATATAGCAATATTATCTTATGTTCCAATTCAAAAATGATACCTGTCAGTTTCCTAAATTTAATTTATACTTATTTAAATGTGTTCTGTTTGTTTGTACTGATGAAGGCATGTGCCGAAACGTTAAATTGTGTATAATGTATAATTATTATTAAAGCGTAACTTATATTGTTATATTGACACAATTTGTTTGTGTCTTTTTAATCTATTTTAAAGCTTTATTGCAGTCCAACACTTTTTATAATCAGTTTCCTAAAGGAACCCTAATGCTGAAGTCTGCGTCCTTATTTTGTTACCAGGTATCTGGATGTCATGGCCTCATACAAGCTCAACAAGTTCCACTTTCACCTGACCGATGACGAGGGCTGGCGTCTGGCCATACCTGGTCTTGAAGAACTTACTGAGGTCCATTTTAGTTTATTGTATCACACTACACATTCCTAATCAAACTTATTTTTATTCAGTTTTGTCCCAACTCATTTTTCTCCCATATTTTGGGGGCACAATTTAAAAACAAGGGAAATGACTACAATTTAACCAATGGCTAAGACAAGGGAAATGACTACAATTGAACCTATGGCTAAGACAAGGGAAATGACTACAATTTGACCAATTGCTAAAACAAGGTAAATGACTACAATTTAACTAACTGCTAAAACAAGGGAATGACTAAAATTTAACCAACTGCTAAAACAGAGGAAAGGACTACAATTTAACCAACTACTAAAACAAAGGAAAGGACTACAATTAAACCAACTACTAAAACAAAGGAAAGGACTACAATTTAACCAACTACTAAAACAAAGGAAAGGACAACAAT